TATATGGCCTCTGTTTTCCGAAAAGTGGTGACAAAAATGCTTGATTTTTCACTACTTAAAGTATGAGAATTCTTAAAGCATGATTTGAAAAAACATAACACTTCGAGTATCTAAGACGATAAATATCGCGCTTTTCTGCTATATGAAATAAAATAAAAATATCTGTTCGTTTATTAATATTATGCGATCTAATAGTTTTCGAATGGTCGAACAGAGAACTCGTTACAATGTGAACGTAATCATTGTAGTAGTAGTAGTAGTAGTAGTAGTAGTAGTAGTAGTAGTAGTAGTAGTAGTAGTTATTATTTATTCACGAAAAGTGAGTAAGCTACAAAGACCGTTTTGAACGCACACAATCAAAAGAAACCTGTGCCCTTCAGACTATGTTTCAAGAAATGTATCGTGATTGTTTTTCTTAGGATTGGTCAGCTAAATATGAACATTGGATTCTTTATGCCAATGTTCTGTTTTCTTTTTCTTTTATCTGCATTTTAGATATTGAATTTTGATATTCAAACCATTTTCTTTTTGTTTGCAAAGGACAAAGGGCTATGAAGTTTTATATATGAATTCAAATTATTCTATTTAACATTAATATTCATAAGATATGCCGAAAACAACGTCCGGTTCAAATGCCGCTCCATGTAAGTTGTTAGATCAAAAATCTATGACATACATAATTGTAAAAGTAATAAACATTTCTTCTTCTAAAAGTGCTGAGTATTAGATTGAAAATTTTGAAAGAAGTGAATTTTTCTTCTCTTTCGAAGAAGATTAATATTATATCCCATTTGACAAACTATTATTCGGCAGTCGTAATCAGGCAGGGAAACGTTTTTTGACAAATTGTTAGAAAAGAGATAAATATTACTCATTTTCTCTGGCATAGTAGTAGAACTCTGTTTTCTGATCAAAGTTGAACTCATTTTGTTGTTTATCTGCGACCTACGATTATAATATTTTTCTTTATTTTCTATTTCAGCATTAGCTCGAACCATTCAAGCAAAAAAACGTCGTGCTAAAAATGGTAAACCCCGTCCTCCACGTGATCTGATTCAAAAGAAACTGTAAGTATTCAATTGTCTTGCTTTTGTTCATTTGCTATATCCTCGTGTTAGTTGTACTCTTATCGACAAAGAAAAAAAGCAACCGAAGGCCAACAATCAGTTCTATTGAGTTGTATGCTTACTAGCTAAACTTTCTCTTGAAAATAGTTTTCTACAATTAAATTTATTTTTGAGAAAAGTTTTATTTTTGATTAATTTACTTGTTAGTACATTTAGAGAAGAACGTACTTTTTTAAAATTGTACGTTGATATTCATTATGATATTAAACGGTTAGAAACTTTATAGACATCCATTCCTCTTAGAATAATTGAATAGTTTCAATATATTATGATAGATTGGTCGATTGTTGCAGTGAGTAATGCAACTAATCATATTCATAAAAAACAAATGGTGACTTTTGTTTCATAGTCGAAGACATCGAAAAGTTTTTCTAGATTGAGTTAGCGGATATTTATCGTCTTAGATACTCGAAGTGTTATGTTTTTTCAAATCATGCTTTAAGAATTCTCATACTTTAAGTAGTGAAAAATCAAGCATTTTTGTCACCACTTTTCGGAAAACAGAGGCCATATA